GGTTCCCTCACCGGAGTTCCCGCTGGCTCTAGTCCGGTTCCCTCACCGGAGTTCCCGCTGGCTCTAGTCCGGTTCTCTCACCAGAGTTCCTGCCGGCTCCCTCTCTGGGCTCCTCCTCAGAGCTTCTGCCGGCTCCCTCGTCAATTTCGCCACTCTTCCTCGGCACTGAGGCTCTCCCAGCCTCCGTCGCTCCCGGAGCTGCTGCAGCCTATTTGGCCCACGGCAAAGGCCCCTTGCGGGTGCCCGGTTCCACTCCCGGGCTTCCCCCCGGGCTTCATGTCCTCCCGCAGGGCGGCCCCTCTGCCCCCCGGGGCCTCTGCCTTCGGGGCCACGTTTTATTTCCGCTGAGCGGCGCCTCTCTCTGACGTCACTCCGCCCCAGCCGTATGAAAGCGCGGCTAACGAGCCGCGCGGGTGGTTCCCCGGCCTGCACGCTGCCACTGCTCCCACCTCCTGCGAAGCATAAGTGAGTATTTCCTCTGGCTCTGGGCCGGGGTCTCCCTCTAGTCCCGTTGTCCCTGGGAGACAGAGATTTCCATGGTTCCCTCTGAAACCTGAAAAACTGGACTCATGGTAAATAGGGAACCAGACTTCGCAGGTGGAAACATTTGAGAGAAATTACATTAAATGTTTTACAATTATCTAAAACATTAAATAGCATATGCAAGATACCTGAGGGTGGTGTGTGTTTTGGATATCTTACAAAACTGCTGCTTTGCAGCAGGGTATTGCTACCGCTGTGTAATATGGATTCATAAATTCAGGCTAATAAAACTTCTATAGTGTTGCAGGTAGTAACTCTTTGTATAATGAAAGAGAAATAGACTGAATTTTCAGGCTGCATCAGACCAAAGCACAAACCGAGTTTCAATGCCCTACAAAAGCCTACTTTCTTTAAAACTTCAGGACTTTCAGCTTAAGCACAGGTGCCACTGTATCTACTAAGGGAGGCAAAAGTCTCTGGTAGTTAGAGCTTAAATGATGCGTGTCAAGCTGACATTATACGCCTAACTATTAGCCATATATTCAGTATAACTGCTTTAAGATTCAGCAATACAATTCCAAATCTAACACACATATACAAAAAGACCTTAATGCCCAGTGAAGTCATTGGGAGTTTTTCCACCAACTTCAGTGAGCTTGGGATCAGGCCTTAAGTGAGGAAGAATTCAAGAGTATCATAAAGTGCTATGTAACAGCCAGACTACAAATTTTTACTTATATAAGAGATCAATGGGACAGGACCATTCTCAAGTGAATAAAGATAGCTTCTAGGGGTTGAGCTTGCAAGATAGTAATTTTTCATACTTCTGAAACTCTTCATTTCATATTGTTGTCAAACAGCACACTGTCTTTGAATCAAATGGGAATTTAAAATGTGTTGGATGGATTGGATGCAAGTGGATTATACATTTTGTGGTCTGAACTGCTAATATGCCATTCAATATCCTTTTTAGCTTGTTTTTCTAAACATATCAGTACAGTGTATATGTAAACATTAAACTTCAATTGAATATTAAATGGAGCACCACATTTTAAAAAGTATTATATTCAGTAGTCCATCGAGATTTTGTAGATTTCCACTGAGACTTTGTAGATTTCCTCCCCTGAATTCTTCCACTAATTATATATATATATATGCAGCTTTCTAACACTAATTATTCTCATAATTATAAATGTTAAAACACGTACCTGCATTTAACAAAGGTAAGTTGTCTTTACCACTTATAGTTTCAGGGGCTGCACATTCACGAACCAATGCACACTAAAAAAGAAAAAGTATAACATATTAGCATAAAAAGTAGTCTTCAGATGCTGCTGCAGCAAAATATAAGCCAATATATATCTTCTGGGCAAATATTTGACAAATTTCCAATCCTAGTGGTACTATGAAACATTTTCATATTTAAGTGGGTTTTTATTGTTAATTCCTATTTTGCCTATTTCCTTTATATCTTAGCCATAAGAAGAGGCCTTAGTTTCAAATCAGAACCAGGATAGAGAAGAGGGCAAAGCATGAAAGATTGTCCCTAAATGCAGAAAACAGATGTTGCCAGCAATACAATGGCAGAGCACAACATTTCTGACATGTAATACACATTCAAGAGCTCTCATTCAGCTTGGCTTTTGTGGAAACATAGCAGGCAGTTCCATAGTTTAACACAAATGCAATATTAAATAGGGGGGAAAGATGAAGACTAGAGGGACTATTTAAAATTTAAGTTGCCACTTGTGACCAAAAGAGTTACTTAGAAAACAGAACAGAATCATTTTGGGGAGTAGGGTTGTGATTACATGAAAATTCACATGAGTTACAGTCAAAGATAGTAATTTTCAGTTTAAAATGTAGTGTCAGGACATGATTTTAGAACACTTTATCTGTTATTATCATCATCTTCTAAAACTGTTTTATCTAATCATTTCTACTGCTTATAGTACATATTAGTGTAAGACTTCTCTGTGGTAGCTGGTTCAATCCTGGCAGCATCAGGGAGGGAGAGGGTTGAACTGTGAGGCTAGGGACAGACATTACACATAAACTGGTTTAAGTGATCAAAAACTGGTTTAAACCTGTCACAGAACAGACATTCAGTGCACATAAACCAGTTTGAAAATGGCTGAAACCAGTTTGAGATAAACCTGGTTGAATGTAGTATCAGATTTAACTAATTTGGGTCAAACCAGTTTATGCAATGTCTGTCTTATACCCCTTGCTGGTTTAAATTAAATCAGATTCCCCCAGCATCCCGGCATGCTCTCTGGGCTGGGCAGGGATCTCTGCTCCACAGCTGGACTGGCCCCTCCTCTCTGCTCCCTGGCTGGAGCTTAGCAGAGACTTACAGGCACAGCAGGGTCTGCTGGCTTCCCCCTGCCCCCTCTGCCACACCTCACCACTCGCTGCTTAAGCAGAGATCCCGTCCTCCTCTCTCCCACAACACAGACCGTGGCCAGCATGTGGTATGCTGGCTAGTTTTGTGTAAGGCAGACAGGACAGTGTCCACTTAGGGCTTTTTGGAGCTAATCAACAGCTCACCTGGTAATGTCCCTGCATTCTTTCCTTCAGAAAAAGCTGTTTAAGTGGAGCTTGAACTAATGAGTAAGGTTTTGTTTTCTGATGGGCTGATAAATGCTGATAACAGAGCTGACAAACGCTCTGTTATCAAGCAGGGGGGGAACCCCACCCTAATCACAGCATCCAGCCCAGGCCTGGCCCCAGCTCAGCTCAACACTGTGGAAGGGAAGGAACAGCTGCTCTAGTGCCCCCCAGCTTCCAGTCTGAGCTTCTGCAGGCATGTGCTGGCATTTTTTCAGTCTAGAGGGGATGTCTTTGCAGTTACAAAGTGATTTAGTCTAGTCATGTTAGACTAATCTGCCAAGATTGAATCAATTCAGACTCAGGCTTTTTGAATGTCTGTCCCTAGTCCAAGAGCTTCAGTCTTTCCTGCCTACCTGTTCACCAAGGCAGCTGGAACAGCTGCACAGCAAAGAACATGTTTTCAACCAGATCGAGTGCCTACCTCTCTCAGAAATATACACAAATCACCAACAATGACAAGCCACTAGCTCCAATTGTGAGAATTCCTACATTCTTAGTATCCTATGAACACTAAATTTGGACATGGCTGCTCTTAGCTTTTAGGCCATTGACAGATGTTCAGTTGAAAGCATGATGGGATCTAATTCATGATTCCAACAACTATATTTCCTGCCATGCCACACATGCATATGAATGCCACATGACAGGAGGCATATCTGTGGGATGAAGGATTAAATCCCAATCACCAGTGCGGAGGGAGGCCGAGGTCATGATGCCTGGCTCCCCTGCACTGGCAAGTAGTAAGCTGACTGCCTGGTCTGCCTGTGGCTTCACCACTTAGCTGTTTGGAACTCCCAGCCTGGGAAAACTGGGATTCTGAAGGGCTCCACTACACTCTCAAGTGCTGAACACACATTCAGTTTCAGCTGCGATGGGAACAACGCACAAAGTTATTACACATTTTGTTATTAAGTTAATACATTTTGTGTAATAACTTCGTGGCTTATTCCATGTTTTATTGTAAAGCTAATTACATGAAAGTATAACGTTTGCCAGGGACCTCAGTAACAGATCCATCATGTTCTCTTACCATCACATTCACTTTCACACACAACCACTAACACAATTACCTTTCCACCAAAAAAAAAAAAAAAAAAAAAATCAGTAGTTGGAAACTGTTTATAAAATATGAAACTTCATGTACACATGTACACACGCACATACTGAGTAATAGTCATATACATACACACATACACACACGCACACACGAAAATGCGTGCCTCCTGAACATGGTGACCACCCGCAAGCAGCGGTGGTGGCAGGGGTGGGGAGTGGGGACCGCCCACAGCTGCCGTCTGCGCTGTCGGCAGCAGTGAGTGGTGAGTGGAAACCGCCCACAGCCAGCGGTGAATGCGTGAGGAGTGAGTGCCCTCAGAAGTCGACGGTGGCCAATCGCAGGGGGTACATCCTCCCCGTGCCCCACTTATGCATTGCCTATGTATATATATAGCATTACTTCTTGTGAGAACAATGGCAAAGCAATACAGTTTTTATTAACGACAAGACACTGACACCAGAGATATAACTTTAAATTTTGATGCCCTGGGCAGAAAGGGAGTGAGGAGTAAGTAAGGGGCTGTGGCTGCAGTGGCCTAGGCTGCTGCTGCCTTGGTGCAAGGTCACTTAAATGGGCTGCAGCACCAATGTAGGCCCCTGGGGGCTGCCATTCTGGCACCCACTCTGATTTACCACATGGGGCTGGTCCCCCAGTTGCCCTCCCCTGCCAGTCAGGCCATGGACTTGCATCATTAAACCAGAATAAAAGAGCCCAAAAATTTTAAACTCACGGTTGATGAAAAAAGCACCAAAGAATGACTTGTTGATCCTTAAACATATACCATATGTTATTGCACCTGTCTTTATTATTCTTCATGGCTCAAAACAGTTACTAATATGGCATTACATAACGCTTTGAGCAAGTAAAAATGTGTTAATGAAATGGCTTTCATATGAAAATAAAATTAAAAAAAACAGCCAGAGGTATAACAGACCCTGAGTGCAAGCAGCACACGCTGCAGGAACAGTGGCCAGAGATTTTCTGCCACTGGGAGAGATGCCATCTCTTTTTCTTTTTTTTCCATGGACACAAGTGTTGAGCAGGAAAGAAAACACTGGTTTCCAAAGGCAACAAAGGAAGTGACATTTCCCACAGCAGCAGTGAGCAAGCATTTGCTGCTCCTGCATGGTAATATCTCCATATAATCAAAATTACTATGGAGCAATTATCAAAATATTGTCTCTTGATGAGCCTAAAACATTGTTTCAATTTTTATAGTACAGCTGAAACCTAATCTTTCAGCATGCTTCCTCCTGGAAAATGGTGAAATTCCTACTTTCTGGAAAGATTTGGTGCAAATGAATATGTCAAAATCTCAGAATCTTCTACAGGATGATATTTCTGTTTTTTTCATCAGCTCAAACACTACCTTATTTCACACACAGGAGTTATCTATCCGACATGAAAGCTATTACTAGAGCAATTAATATTATTTCCCATGAAAACTGTGTGCTGTTTGAAATGAATAAAATAGCGCATAAGACTGGGATATGGGGAGAGACATTTCTAAATGTTTTTATGAACAGTGTCCTTAATGAAAAGCATATGGGCTATTGCTGGAGACTCTTAGTAACTTATATACACTTTTTTTTAACCATGCATTTTTTACTATTCTTTCCCAACATCTCTTCCCTCACCTGATGATTTCATTTTTAGCGCTACTTTCTACATCAATCTTCAACTTCATTTTTAAAGGCTGCTTTTCTGACCCTACTCTCATGTATAATTCTCAATCTTAATATATTTTTAAAAGCTTATATTTTAAATTATGTCAAATTTTCCCTGCTTTCAAAGGCAGCACATCAGCTTCTCTTATTTTCTTGCATTTCATTTAGGCTCAAATCTTAGCAAACAGCTTGAGTCCTCTGCTGTGTTTAAATCTGTTCAAGATGGAGTAGGAGAGAAGGAACCATTCTTAAAGGTGTTGGAAAGACTGACACAGTGCTTTGCAACTGTTAGTGATGCATCAAGGATGCAGTAGCCATTGTGGCTTCAACACACCTCGTCCAAAGGGGTGGAACAAAAGGCAAGGGATGAATATAAGTTTCCAAGGCTGCAATCAGATGTCACATTTGCCCGAGGAAAAACCATTTTATCCCAGGACAGAGTGTAATCATTCAGATATCCATACTTGCTGTCCCAGGAAAAAACCCTAAAAAAGGTTCATGGGATAAGAAGTATTAACGTTTGCTCTACGGACATTGTAAAGTGCTTCTGAACTGTTGTTCCAGGATTGCAACATTGAATCAAATGCAGAAAATTGATAGTGCATTTGGCTGCACATTGAACCCTGATTGGAAGGGCAATGTGTGTGCATGCCAACCCTGTGACATTTCTGTTCTGGGACAAACAGGCACAGCATAACTTGTCCCAGGACAAATGCAATGTTCCTCCTCCAGCACTCACAATGGGTTCGTATGGCTAGTGGTTCTATAGCCACTAGATGAGATACATGATAAAACTATGGCTGGTATCAGTAGTGTGGGTAAATGGTAGGACATGAGCCCTGGGCACTTCCTGAGGGGGGTGGAGTATCAGAATGGAAGTTGGGGGAAGTGGGGTGTCACCTCACCTTCTCATCCCAGTCCCCCAGCAGAGTGTCATGGGTTACACTAGTATGGGATTCTTTGCAGTCAAAAAACAGTATTTGCCTCTTTATTAGAGCTGGTTGAAATGTGAAGATTTCATGCCAATTTGGGGCAAAAAGTATATTTGTTAGAATTCCACAATCAGAACATATTTTAGACTTTTATTTGCAGAAAAATCCAAACATTTTGGTTTAATTTTTCTAAAACAAATTGTCAGTTGCTTCAAATGAGAGGGACTCTCCAGGCCATCTCCACGCTGATGGACTTCTAGGCAAGGGATAGACATTCAAAAAGTCTGAGCCTGAATTCATTCACTCTTTGCAGATTAGTCTAACCTGCCTAGACTGAATTGGTTTGTAACTGCACAGACATCCCAGAAATGCAGGCACATGCCTGCAGTGGCTCAGGCTAGAAGCTGAGGGGCGCTAGAGCAGCCCTCCCTTTGCTTCCATAAGGCAGGTGAGGGGGCCATGGCCAGGCTGCTGCAGGACATTCTGATTATTCGGGTGAATAAGAATTGGAGATTTGGTGCTGATTCAGATTGGCCGGGGAGAGGCAGGCATAGCTGAGTGACTGCAGGTTCTCCCGTGGCTTCTCCAGCTGTGCCTGCCTCTCCTCAGGTGGGGAGGAGCTGCGGGAGAAGCCCCCAAGGCTACCCTACCTGGCCCCCATCCCCAGCCTCCCAGCACTCTAAAAAAGCCCCACACTCACTGGCTGCAGCAGGGATCAGGGCCTCTGGGTGCTCATGGCAGAGCCCCCTCATGCATTGCAGGGCAGCAGGGATCGCCCCCCTCCCCCCCCTCCCGCCTGGCATCTGCACGGCAGCTGCCCCATTGCACGGGTGCAGCACAGCTCGGCAGGGTGCCACATGCTGTCTGGGAGCTGGGGCAGCGTGCTGCCAGGCTCTGGGTGACAGGTAGAGCATAAGTTCAGTGTACATAAACCAGTTTCAAAATGGCTGAAATTGGTTTAAAGTAAACCTGGTTGAATATAATAGAAGACTTAATTGATTTGGGTCAAACCAGTTTATGCAATGTCTGTCTCAGACCCCTTGCTGGTTTAAATTAAACCAGTCTCCCCCAGCATCCCGGCATGCTCTCTGGGATGGGCAGGGCTCTCTGCTCCACAGCATAGCTGACCCCTCCCCTCTGCTCCCAGGCCAGAGCTCCAGCAGAGACTGCAGACACAGCAGGGTCTGCCTGGCTTCCTCTTCCCCCCTCCCCCACCCTTGCTGTTCAAGCAGGAATCCCCCAACCTCCCATTTCCCATAGCATGGACCCCAGCCCCATGGACCCTAGGCATGTGGTAATGCTGAGAGGTGTCTCTGTGTGTGTCTCCAATTTCACTGGGACAGGCAGACAAGACAGTGTCCACTTAGAACTTTTTGCAGCCAATCAACAGGTCAGCTGGTAAGGTCCCGCCTTCCTACCTTGGAAAAAGATGTTTAAAAAGAGCTTGAACTAATAAGAGAGGCTATTGCTTTGCTGATGTGGTGATAAAACACTGTTATCTGTCCCCTGCTGGCTTGCTTGCCTGCCAGTTTGCTGCAGAAAGTATAAAGAAGCAGGGAGGGAGACTGAAAAGTTCCATATCATCAACAAATGAATGCACTGCACAAACCTCCCTTGCCTCAGAGTGTAGCCCAGGACTAGGGCCTGGCAACACTCCTGCCCCTTGAACAGCAAGCTGGGAAAAGCCTGGGATGGTGCAGGCAGATCTCTCTAATCAGAGCATACTGCTGGGGCCTGGCCACGCCCCGCTCAGCTCAGCACTACGTAAGGGAAGAGAGGACTGCTTTAGAGGCCCCTGGCTTCTAGCTTGAGTCACTGCAGGCATGTGTCTGCATTTCTGGGATGTCTGTACAGTTACAAACTGATTCAGTCTAGCCAAGTTAGACTAACCTGCAAAGACTGAATCAATTCAGGCTCAGGCTTTTAAAATGTCTGTCCCTATCCCAAATGTGGTACAACCAAGCCTGAGGATTTCATAGACATTAGGGCTGGAAGAGACTTGTCAGATCATCTGGTTGAGCCCCCTGCCCAAGGGCAGGAAGAAAGCTAGGGTCAGAGGACCCCAGCAAGATAATTGTCCAGGCACATCTTGAATGTGTCCAGGGTAGGTGCTTGCACCACTTCTGGGGGGAGTCTATTCCAGACTCTGCATACTCGGACAATAAAGAATTTCCTCCTTATGTCCGGTCTAAAATGGTCCTCCAGCAGTTTCTGACTGTTGGACCTTGTTTTCCCTGCGGGACCCCTGGTGAACAGACGTTGTCCCAGGTCCTAATGAACACCCCGATATACTTATAGGCTGCCACCAAGTCCCCCCTGAGCCTACACTTTGCCAAGCTGAAGAGTCCCATGCCTCTCAGCCTCTCCTCATATGGCCTGCTCTCTTGACCTCTGATCATGCTCATGGCTCTCCTCTGGACTTTCTCGAGCTTATCCACATACTTTTTAAAGTGTGGAGCCCAGAACTGGATGCAGTACTCTAGCTATGGCCTCGCCAAGGCTGAATAAAGTGGGAGAATGATATCTTGGGTCTTGTTTGAGATGCATCGGTAGATGCAAGCCAGGGTTTTATTTGCTTTGCCGGCTGCAGCATCACATTGGAGGCTCATATACATCTTGTGGTCAATCATGACCCCCAGGTCTCCTTCAGACGTAGTGCTAGTCAGTGAAGTACTGCCAAGCCAATAGGTATGATGCAGGGTTTTCCTCCTGAGGTGGAAGACCTTGCATGTCTCTATGTTGAAGGTCATCAGGTTTGTATCCGGCCACCTTGTGAACCTATCTAGGTCGGCCTGGATCCCCAGGACAGCAGCAAGGGCTGTAGTTCATGTTGCATATTTTGTGCCAACTTCTATTAAAAGAGCCAAATCCATGAAAAAAAGCACATTTTGACTCTTCACAGCATTTCCTGGCTGCTTTGGAAGTGGGTGAAAAAACTACCTGTTTACAATGGCCTAACATTTTAAAAGTGTTTTGGTATCTTTTGAGAAGAATGGTGTACAGAAACAGAAAGTGTATCATTAGAATTCAGACCTGTAGCCCACAGTTCTGAACATACAGAAGAAAAGTGGTAAAACCATTCATGATGTGGCCTCTTATTTCCAACCTTGCTTCTCTGAAAATGTGTTCCCATGCTATTTCACAAGATGTGAAGTTCTCATTAGACTTGCCCTTTGCATGAAAAGTTTAGCAATATTAAAGTTTAATGCCTCTACCAAGTACGGCACAGGGAACTGAACTATCTAAATTACCTCATACAATATTGTGACAGTCTCAAGAAGTGGTTAATTGAGGGTAAAATGAATACTTTTATTCTAAAAAAAACACATAAGGAAAAACTATGAGAACAGAATATGACTTGGAACAAATCTATTTTTAGTTTAGAAAGAAAACATTTTGCTTTATTCCAGAGAGGATTTCTTTCTAGCTTTTTAAACAACACACATTTAAACCCCGGTGTGATATTAGTAATATAGGCATCTGGCACAGCTGATCATTCTAATTTAATTTGTGCAGTGAACTGATTGAGTTCCTACCTTTTGTCCCTGCACATCTGTTGTGATGTGGTCCGTTTCCCCATCCTCTATCTCTCCCATCTTCACAAAGCTGACTTCTATTGTACCCACTGTTTTTCCACCATCAGAAGTCCTGAAACCAAATATTAGGTAAAAAAAAAAAAAAAAAAAATTCTTCACAAGACTTTTTCAAGAATATTACTCAGTACATATTTACTCTTCTATTTTTTTAGCTCTCTGAAACTGTTTTTCTGCCACCATAAAGCAAATTATAAATAAATTACTTGCATCTTCCTGCTTATACCAAGGATAACTTTGAAAATATTCATTAAAACTATGGAGGATGGAGGTAGCCTCCCCCCACCATCTGCCATGGTGGGGAGATACTCTAAATGGTCTCAGCATAAGGGTACTTTAAGAAAAAATAAAATAGCCCTTTTGCCCAAATCCCTTTATAATCTACAACACCATAGCATATGTCAGTACTTGCTTCTAGCATTATCTGTGAAGACAGAACATTTTTAGTATATCACAAAATCTACTGCTAAACCAAATAAAAGAGTAAAACAAGTGTGAATACCCATTCTTTGATTTCCTTGTCTAACTATTGCTAAGTACCATTCCTCAACTGCCTGGGAAACACTGCTATTATATCAGGTGAACAAGCAGAGAAAACACATTCCTTTTTACATTGATTTGATTAGACTTGGAAAAAGTCTCCTTCAGTCAAAGAAATTAAGTTTAGATGCAGATCTCCACATTTGTGATGGGATAACCTTGGTATTCATAGATTCTGGGAACTTGAAAACCTATATCCTTACAGAAGCTGAAGTACCTCCTCAAATCTCACTGACCATAAAATACAGCTTAAGAAAGGGAGGTTGACAGGATTGTGAATGGAAAAAAGGAGGTGAAGATTACTGAAGAACTGGACTTTTAGGAGAGAAAGGATAGAGAGTAAAGGACTATTCCAGAAATAGGGGAGAGCAAGATAAAAGGCAAAGTTGAGAGCAAGAAAAACAGATGAAAGGAGCTTTGTAGAGCTTAACAGAGATTGGGAGGAATATAAGAAATGGGGAGAGTGAGAGCAGAGAAGCATTTGGGGCATCAGGTATAATCTTATAGGTTAGGATGAGCACTTGAATGAAGGCATTGCGGAAAAGACTACATGGCTAGGAGAAAAATAGCAACTTCCAGAGTCAAGATAATGCTGGGAAATATACTTCATTTTTTTAAAGACAAAACATATTCCGTATTCCTGGGAGAATTTTCATTCCAGGAAAACATCGCACTCCTCCTCTGCATCAAATCTTTTCTGCATCTTAAAACATTAGGTAAGTAATCTTCACACCATTCCTATGAGATAAGAAATAGCCTTATCTTCCCCATGTTACTAATAAGGAATCAGACCAAGAGAATACTAAGCAACTTTCCAAAGTAATATGGGCCTCAAATTTCAATGATTTCACATGTCCTTACAAATTTCACGCATGCTGGGTAGTCCTAGTGAAGTCTTACAATCATATGCTCATAGCTTTTCACAGTCAGGGCCTTTTCCATGTTTCTAAATTGGAATATTTTCCAGATTCTGGAATAAATTTGCAAATTGTCTACTTCTGTACTTTAACTTAAAAATGTTTGCCTTTGGTCTTGATCACTATTCTCTAACATGGGAGACATTTAAATGTGTTTATTTGACACTAAACAAACTGAATACTTTTCAATAGAAACCTCTGCAAACTTTACATAATTATCTACACTGTGCACTGGGGCTTTTTTTTGTTTGGTTCAAAACAAGTTCACCAGTGATATGACAATAAATAAACCAACCAATTCCAGCAGGCCTCAATCAAATGACTCTGTATGAACACACTAGTTAATATAAAACAAAGGTGGAAATTATTAGTGAGCAATCATGTTTCAACTGCCAGAGGGTTTCACTGACAAAAGTACATAATATTAATTTTAAAATTTATGATGAAAAAATAATGCATTTTCTTTTTAAATAACAAAATACAAAATGTGTGTAATGAATTAGTGACGTCACTTCTTTTTCTGAATTACTACAGACCACTTCACTTGTTTGACCTATTATTTTTCTATCTTTTTTCTTTTCAGGTCATAATTGCCTTGAATAGGTCAGGCTATGTTAATAACTGGATAAATCACCCTGTGAGGAACAAGTGAATATGCAATGCAAACAGCTATTTCCAAGTCACATATACCTTTAAAAATCCAGGTGCCATGGCAGACCAGTATTTCACAAAAATTTAATACATCTTGATCAATATGCCAAACTTCTGCCTTACGGCCTGGTTGTCTTAAATATTTAACTAAAACCTGCAGTCAGTACTGGATTTAAATGGTTTCTGTTTTCAGGGCAAAAGTAAACCTGCAGGCATATTCAAGATTGTACTGGAAACAATAGAACTGAGTCTATTGTCACTTATACCAGTATCAAACAGGTGAAAATGAAAATGAAAATGAATGACAACTTAGGTTCACTTTGTAAATGAGCTGACAAGAGAATCATCCATGGTGCTACAATGCAAGACATGACCAAATAAATCAAAACTGAAATAGAAACATTTCTTACAAAGCACTTGCAAAATCCCTTTCCTCTCTCCCTCCCTTTGAATGCTGGATTTCTCCTTTCAGCATCAATATCTATCTGATTACTCTAGCCATACACAGTTTGAAATATGCACTTAATATAATTTATCTTTAATCTAACCTTTAAAATGGTTATTTCTTGAATACTTCCCACATCCTAATAAAATCTGCCATACTGCATGCCGAAACATAGATCTGTTCAAAACTACAAAAGAAATGTTCTATAACAGAATGAAACTAAAACATTGAGATCTTGTCTATGCTCTCATAGTCTTTCATCTCCCCACAGCAAAAAAAGAAGAAAAAAAGGCTCTGGAAATGTAACAACAATATGAAACAAGGTTTATTTTCTTAATGCTACAGGCACACAAATCAACAAAGAGTGTCCAGGGAGAAACCATCATTAGCTATGTCAGACACTGTGAATTTAAAATACCATTGCTGTATGAGAGCCTTCAGACAATAGACACGCCATGCATTTAAAACTTGTGAAGACACAAATATCAAATTAAAATCTTGCAAGAACTAGTAAAAGAAAAGAGAAATGCAGTAAACAAACAAACAAAAACACAAACCTACTTAAATTTAGTTAAAACAATTGTCATTTGCTCTTGTGCTAATGCATATGGTTGGATATCCATGAACATGCCTGTCTACTTTATCCAATTTCTAGTAGTGCACATGCATACACATTACCAGGGATCCAGGATTTTCATTTCCCATGGAAAAAATGTAGATTTTCCCTTTCAACTGAGAAAAAAAAGTGGATTTTTCATTTTGAGGGAGAAACGCACAGATTTTCCACTTTTACAAAGAGCTCTCTGCAGGCTGGCAGAGTTTCAGCCTGCAAGAGTTTCTTAAAAAAAAGGCAGCAAACCCTAATCCCCGTCTTGAGGGGGAGGGAGAGGGGGAAGGGGTAGGACCTGAGACTCTTGAGTCAGCCAGGACCTGGCTCTGCCACACTTTCCCTCCTGAAGCCTTTGGGGTAGGTGAAGCTTTCAGCGGGCTGAGGGCCAGCTGTGGGTTCTCTCCAGCAGGGCTGAGGAGGTAGGTAAGGGGCTGCAGGTCAGGAATGAGAGGCACTGGCAGGGCTGGGTGGGGGGTGTAGGTTGGGTGACTGCCAGGGCTGGTGGGTGGGTTGGAGGCTGTGAGAAGAGCCAGCAGGACAGGTGGGAGGCAGGGCAGGGGTGTGTAGGGGGAGGGCTGAAGGAGTGGGACGGTGTCTGTAGGCACTCTCAGGCCAACATAGGAGAACCTGGGCAGCATCCCTGCGCCCTGCCAGGGGTAGGGCAGGCAGGGTCTTTTACTTGCATGTCTATCTGTGTTGAACAGCCAGGGCACCTGCCCTGTGACCCGCTCCTGCGAGAAGGTGGCAGTGGTCACAGTACAGTGCTGCAGCTCAAGGAACGCTGTGGCATGCTGGAGGCTGGGGTGAGTGCCGAGCTGCTGCTGCTGTCCATGGGCCACCATCCATGCATCATTGGACCAAGCCATGCCGGCCCTCCATGTGGGGCTTCCAGCACTCCAGCAGGAAGCCACATGTGGAGGCAAGCACAAGCCTGCCTGGCTCAATGGTGCACAACTCTATGCCTCCTTGTGCAGCTTCCCACTGGAGTGCTGGAAGCCCCACATGGAGGGCCGGCCCAGCCCAGCCTGATGGTGTTTGGACCAGAAGGCACGTGTCATTGGGCCAGGTGGGAAGCCACACATGGAGGCATGGCGTCGTGCACCGTCAGGCTAGGTGGAATCCCGCTTGCCTCCATATGAGGCTTCCTGCTGGAGTGCTGGAAGGCCCACCTGGAGGCACAGAGTCCACCCAGCCTGATGGCACATGACTCCCACCCAGTCCATGTACCACTGGGCCAGGCTGGCCGGTGCTTTATTGCTTTGCTAAGCTTTCACGCATTGTATGTATGCATATGTATGTGTGCATGTAATACTTCATTTGTTGTTGGAGTTTGCAGTACACATCTTCCATGTTTTTATAACTTGACTGTAAGTACCTGGGGGCATGGACTGTCTTCATATTGTATTTTGTCTTTATAAGCATCTTGTTGGGCCTCAACAAGTAAGAACCATTCAAGTACTAATGAAGGAACAGTTGTCATGAGTGCAATAGGAAGTACACTGAACTTGGGAAATTCTCTCCCTCTCTACTTAGTACTGTGCAAGGATCCTGGTTTTTTCTGTTTAAAAATTGCAAATTCTCTGCTACCCCCTCCCCTGCAAATTTTGTGATTAGAAACCCAAAATCCATTATTAAAATTATGGATTAAAACCTAATTAGGTTCCCCCCTCATTTAACAGTTGAATACTGGCCTTGACAGAGGTGGGCACATAATTATAGAAGCTTTAATTGTAAAGTAGTTCCATAACTCTACAAGATCAACCAAAATTCAGAAGTCATACTAGGTTCCCCAAATCATCACAATCTCTTTACTTGTTCCCAATTCCTGTATCTTTTCCCTGACACTCTAAATTTTAAGTGTGTCAGGGAAAAGAAAGTGCCATGACTTAGAG